AAGGGCTCGCCCCCCGATGCATTATGTTTCTGTTAAAACAAATGAACTCTTCCTCCACCTCCCATCTGCTTGCAGGGGCCGGCAGCGATGCGAAAGGCGATTTCCAGAAAACCTTCACCACTGCTTTCCACCTTTCGCTCCCCTGTTGCCACTGTTTGATTGCTGATGGGTGCGCATACAGTGTGGCCCACCCCTGCGGAAAGCAGGCCGCCTTCTCTGCCAGCCACCGCCGTGCGCCATCCAGTTCTCGCAGGAGCTTGCCCACCCTGCGGACCGCCAGCCCGTCCAGACAGAGCTTTGGGTCGAGCTGGCCCAGCCCTCCGTCCTTCCGCGGGAGACAAGCCAAGTAGGCGCTCCAGAGGATGAAGATCTTCTCTTCTGCCGCCTCCCCAGCCGAGACAAAAGCGTGGCAGAGCTTCCTTATCTTCTCCCATAACCCGTCCGGTGGTGAGTATACTTGGGCTTGAAACATTAGCATGGGCAGTACGTAGCAAGTGATCACCGCTACTCCCGCTATCGTCGTGAGATATTGTGCCCCCCATTTCCTTTAACTCCTCCCTTATTCTCTCGTGCGTCTTCTCCGAGGACGGACCAGCGTCGCCGTTGGGCGTTATCCACACGCCCATGAGCCTTTCTGGCTCCCCTCGCTCTGACCACTTGTACGGCATATCCTGCGGCACTGGCGTTCCTCTGTTACACCCCAGGGGTACCACCACCGACTTGTCGCAATTGACTTTCAGGCCGGATTGTTTGCCGAAAGTGTCCAGTACTTTTACCACCTCCCTCAGCTGTCCCTCCCCACTTAGCAGGAAAGAAGTGTCACCGGCATACCCTACGTACGAGATCGACTCCTTCCCTGTCGGCCCGACTCCCAGCCTCCTTTGCGTGGCCCTGCATAGCGGCTCCAGCGCACATAGAAAAAGGTACGGCGCAAGCGGGCATCCCTGCCTGACCCCCCTGTTCATTTCCACCATTCCGCTCAACCAGCCGTTGATAATAACCCGCGTCCCCGCTTCTTCGTGCAGGCCCTTGGTCCATCTGACGAAGCTGTCTGGTATCCCCAGCTCCTTCATTACTCTGAAGAGGAAGGCCCTCGAGACGGTATCATATGCCTTCTGAAAGTCTACCAATAGCAGCAGCCAGTCCTCGCCACCGCTGTTAGCCGCTTCCACTGCATCTGCGACCACCGACACCGCGTCCGCCAAGCTCTTCCCAAGTAAGAACCCGTGCTGCTCTTTCGACAGAACTTTGCCCAGCACCTTCTTCAGCCTCATCGCCATGATCTTCGTGACCAGCTTATACATGATCGACAACAGGGTGATGGGCCGGTAGTTACCCAACTGGTCTGTCGCCCCCTTCTTATGCACTAGAACTGTCACGGCCGTTGAAATGCTTTCGTGCATCCTCACCGTCTCCACAAACTCGTTAACAAAATCCATCACATGCCCTTTGAGAAGCTCCAGTGCAGGATAAAAAACTCCGCCGGCAACCCGTCTTGTCCCGGGGACTTTCCTTTGGGCAGCCCTTCCAGTCCCTCTTTGACCTCAGCCTCTGTCCACTCCGCAACTAGCGACGCCGCGTCTGCGGCAGAGAGCTTCGCTCCTTCCGAGAAAGCCCCCCAGTCGACCTCTTCCTCCGGCACTACCTCCTGGAAAGCGGTCTTGAAATGATCCGCCGCTGCCTCCAACACTTCCCCCTCGGTACGATCTCCCCTGATGTGAGACTTCTCGTATCAGCGTCCGCTTTTTCCGCACTTTGATCTTCCTCGAGAGGTACGGGGATGGAACCTCCCCGTTTAACTCCACCCTGATGCCCGCAAGCACTTGCATCCTGTCCTTGCAGCTCTGCAGGTAAGCCTCCAGGTGCGCCTCTTTCCGTACCAGCCTGCCTTGCGCCCTTCTGTCTCCCGGGTATCTCATGACCTTGTGCCTGAGGAGCTCCACCTCCCTCTCAAGGTGCATGACCGTCGCCTTCACCCTCTTCCTTTCTTCCCGCGAGTATGCCCTCAGTCCCACACTGAGAAGCTTCAGCTTCTTTCCGAGGTCGAGCTTCTCTGACCCAACCTTCTGAAGTATGCGGGTTGCCACCTTGCTCACCCCTCTCCTCTGTGCTTGCCTCGCATGCATTCTCCACAACCCAAATCCTTGGTCCTCGTGCTCCGCCACCGCCAGCGCAACCTTGATTTCGAACCAATGATCCGAAAGCCCCACCGGTATTTTGACGTGTCTTGCGTCTGACAGCAGCCCGATCAGCGAGAAGGATACCAGGCTCCGATCAATACACGTGCTTGCACCACACGGAAGGCGTCTCTGAGGTCTGCCGCTCGCCAGAAGTTCAGAAGCCCTGGTTCTCATTCCCCGAGCCTGACCGCGACGTCCGATCCAGATCTGGATCCTCTACCAGATTCAAGTCCCCCATTATCACCAGGTGCGCCGAAGCCAGCTGGGCCTGGACGAAAAGAGGGAGACAGTTCCGGAAGAAAACCCCTCTGGCGCACGCTTGCGTGGGCAAGTACATCGCCACCAGCCTGAAGGTGACCTGCGGACACGTTACCGTGACCCCCACCAGCCTGCCTGACGGGTGTGTAACTTTATCTTTAAGCTTAATCTCGTCCTTGAAAGACAGCACTGCCACACCCCCCGCTCTGTCACTGTTTCCCACAACCACTGTCGATGATGGCTTTAACTGCGTCCAAAAATTGTGGTTTTCTTTAACCCTTGTGGCTGTTAGCACTACCACATCCGCGACTGTTTTGATCCATTGCGCATGCGCCATTCGTTTGCCGTTGCTTCCGAGGCCGTTGACATTGACCTCGCACAATGTAAGGTTGTTGCTGTGACCCATTAAACCACTGAGACAGAGCCCCATAGCATCCACGGGCTTGGTACAAGACAGCAACTCCTACGCACGACTGCATGCAACTGCCTGGTGAGTCTCTGCTCCCCGCCACTTCCCACGAGGCGACCGCACCCCACACAACCCTCCTTAAGCTCCGCTTATTTCCACTGACTGCACTCCTCCTTCTTGCCACTGCTACATGCCGAACTCCTTGCGGATCGGGATAAGGTTCATCTTCCCCTTGCTCTTCCTGCTGGCTGAATCCCCCTGCAGAAGGGCCGTGCAGTGCTGGACAGACTTCACATGTGCCAGCGCCTGCGTGAAGCTGGAGCCATGTGCCTTGCCGCAGGCCTCCTGCACACAAAGCCAGTCCTCCCGACTCCCACCGGTAGAAATCAGCACCACCGCTGGATCGCGTAAGATCTTCTTCACCCGAGTGTCGAGCGGCAGGGACGCAGCTGCTCATGGATGATGTGGGAGAATAGGGATCAGCATCGGCCGCCAGCAACCAGCAGGGGCCGTCGGTCAGCCCATACAAAGTCCTGACTGCCTGCGGAAAAAGGTTAGCGCACAACTGTTTACCGTTAATCGCATGCAGACGCTGCAGAGTCAAGTTCCACTTCCCAATATTCTCCTGACGCTCCGTAACGTAATCATCATGAAATTTCGTCATATACATGCCGTTGCAAAAATCACAGGAAAGCGACGGATAATGAACGAGGAGCTGTCTGTGATGCACCGAGTCAGTCAGCATGTGCCACCAGCGATACTTATGTCCCGGGTGCCCCTTAATCAGGCCCCTTATCTTGTCAGTATCCGCTCCCGTGACAGGATCCACCACCCGGTGGAAGGCTGCACCGCGAAGAAAGGGGGTCCGGCCACGCTTCTCCAAAATCGTCTTCACCAGGTACTCGTACACCATCTCCGGCGTAATGGCAGCCGGGACGCTCTTCAGCAGCACCTGGATTGAGTCTGGGTTCGTCGCGCGCTCTTGGGTATAGACGGGGTTTTCGGGATGCTGTCAGTCCAAGAAGATGCACGTCCCGTTCAGCGTCTTGTGTTCAATCCGGCGACACCACATGTAATTAGCATCCCCTCCTCCCTTGCCTCGCATGCATTCTCCACAACCCAAATCCTTGGTCCTCGTGCTCCGCCACCGCCAGCGCAACCTTGATTTCGAACCAATGATCCGAAAGCCCCACCGGTATTTTGACGTGTCTTGCGTCTGACAGCAGCCCGATCAGCGAGAAGGATACCAGGCTCTGTTAGAAACGCGTGCTTGCACCACACGGAAGGCGTCTCTGAGGTCTGCCGCTCGCCAGAAGTTCAGTAGCCTCTGGTTCTCATTCCCCGAGCCTGACCGCGACGTCCGATCCAGATCTGGATCCTCTACCAGATTCAAGTCCCCCATTATCACCAGGTGCGCCGAAGCCAGCTGGGCCTGCGCTTATAAATTTACTCAATTATAAGCCCACCCCTCTAAAAAAACATGTTTTATTATTGCCCCCCATGGGGGTATATCCGGGGTGTGACGGTACCGTCGTTCTTCAGCTCATTAACCAATGATATTCACTTGTGAAATAAAGAAACAAATTTACGTATTAATCAAGCAGGCTCCCAAGCTCGTCCAAGAGCCACATCCTCCTTTTTGAGATTCCTGGCAATGGAATTAAGCGTCCTTTGTAGCCTAGGAATGTCCGCAATGACAGTGGTGTCACACGTCCCTTCGCTAAACAGCAAATAGTACTTTATAGAGCACGCATACGCGTGACTGTTGTAACACCGGTTGGGGCATTTGTCAGGGCGAATTTCCAAGAGGTGCGATCTGACGGGCATGAAGATGAGGTTGGATAACGCCGCCCCGTGGCCGCCCACAAAGAGCCGAGTCCGGCGGAACAAAGCACGTGCTGGGGAATAAGGAAAGAGTGTGGGAGAGGGTAAAGTGGTAGGTATGAGTAGGGAAGTGGCGTGGGGTTGGAGAGTGCTGCCCCATGCCCTCCCACAAAGAGCAGAATGCGACGAAACTAACTACGGGCTGAGAGAAAAGGGAGGGTTGGGTGGAGTGTGGGAACAGAGTGGGGAGGGAGGGATGGCTGAGGAAATCAAGGTTGGAGAGTGCCACCCCGTGCCCTCCCATCAAGAGCCGAGTGCGATGGAACAAATTACATTACAGGCTGCGGGAATGGGGAAGAAGGGGTGTGGGAGGGGATGGGAAATGAGTGGGGGACAGAAACCGGGAGGAAGGCGGGACCAAATGGGGAGGAGGCGGGTGGGAGGGGGAAGGAGTGGGCGAGGAGGGGGAGGGGGAAGAAGGGGGGAGTGGTGAGAGGCATGAATGCGAGGTAGAGTGTCGCCCCGTGCCATTCCACAAAGAGCCGTGTGTGGCAAAACAAGGCACACGCTGAGACGAGAGAAAAACGAGTGCGGGTGGAAGGAGAAATACGGGGGGTTGGGGGCAGTGTGGGGGGGAGAGAGTGGAGAGGAAGGGGTGGTTCAGGAAGATGAGGTCGGAGAGTGCTGCCCCCTGCCCTCCCACAAACATCCCAGCCAGGCAGAACAACTCCACACACGCTGCAGGAATGAAGAGAATCAGGAGTTGGTGAAGGAGCGCTTTGTGAAGGAGAGCTTTGTGAAGGAGCGCTTTGTGAAGGAGAGCTTTGTGAAGGAGCGCTTTGTGAAGGAGAGCTTTGTGAAGGAGCGCTTTGTGAAGGAGAGCTTTGTGAAGGAGCGCTTTGTGAAGGAGAGCTTTGTGAAGGAGCGCTTTGTGAAGGAGAGCTTTGTGAAGGAGCGCTTTGTGAAGGAGAGCTTTGTGAAGGAGAGCTTTGTGAAGGAGAACCATGTGTGTGTGTGGGGTGAACCATGTGTGTGTGTGGGGTGAACCATGTGTGTGTGTGGGGTGAACCATGTGTGTGTGTGGTGAACCATGTGTGTGTGTGTGGTGAACCATGTGTGTGTGGGGTGAACCATGTGTGTGTGTGTGGTGAACCATGTGTGTGTGTGTGGTGAACCATGTGTGTGTGTGTGGTGAACCATGTGTGTGTGTGGGGTGAACCATGTGTGTGTGTGTGGTGAACCATGTGTGTGTGTGTGGTGAACCATGTGTGTGTGTGTGGTGAACCATGTGTGTGTGTGTGGTGAACCATGTGTGTGTGTGTGGTGAACCATGTGTGTGTGTGTGGTGAACCATGTGTGTGTGTGTGGTGAACCATGTGTGTGTGTGTGGTGAACCATGTGTGTGTGTGTGGTGAACCATGTGTGTGTGTGTGGTGAACCATGTGTGTGTGTGTGGTGAACCATGTGTGTGTGTGTGGTGAACCATGTGTGTGTGTGTGGTGAACCATGTGTGTGTGTGTGGTGAACCATGTGTGTGTGTGTGGTGAACCATGTGTGTGTGTGTGGTGAACCATGTGTGTGTGTGTGGTGAACCATGTGTGTGTGTGTGGTGAACCATGTGTGTGTGTGTGGTGAACCATGTGTGTGTGTGTGGTGAACCATGTGTGTGTGTGTGGTGAACCATGTGTGTGTGTGTGGTGAACCATGTGTGTGTGTGTGGTGAACCATGTGTGTGTGTGTGGTGAACCATGTGTGTGTGTGTGGGGTGAACAACACCACGGCAGAGCCGTGTGCACACATGGTGGGCGGCGAGCCAACACGATCAGCCAGTCGGGCGGAAGGCAGGTGAGGTGAGCTGCTGCTGGTAGGAGGCGCCTCAAGTAAAACCACACCCGTCGCTCTCTAAGATGTGTCAGGTGCGTCAGAGAGGGACGCTGTGTGAGCACCACCACCCAGTCGTGTGGCAGGTGGGAGAGCTGCTGATAGGAGAGAGCCTCAAAGAGGAACCCCTCTTTTCCCAAGGGCCCTCAGAACCAGAACAGACCCCATGAAGGGCAAGCAACGCACCTTGCATGAGCTGCAGCGACCCGTCAAACACAACAACCCTCTCTGCTGGAAACGCGGCGAGAACCGCTTCTTTAACCTCCTCAGCGTTGCTGAAGGAGCGCTTCCCTGACGGCCGCTGCGCCAACACCACCACCCAGTCAGGGGGCAGGTGGGTGAGTTGCTGGTAGGAGAGCGCTGGGCGGTAGTGGTAGGAGAAGTCGGGGCGGAAGAGTGGCAGGCCCTGCGGGTGCAGCAGGTGGTGCCGCCTCAGCTCCATCCAGAGGGCCTTGTTGGGCGCCCCACACTCCTGCAACATTGGCTGTGGGGAGGAGGGGGAGGCGTGGGGTAGGGGGAAAAGGGAAGGGAAGAATAAAGAGGAGGTGAAACAGCAGATGGTGCCGCCTCAGCTCCATCCAGAGGGCCTTGTTGGGCTCCCCACACTCCTGCAGCATTGGCTGTGGGGAGGAGGGGGAGGCGTGGGGTAGGGGGAAAAGGGAAGGGAAGAATAAAGAGGAGGTGAAACAGCAGATGGTGCCGCCTCAGCTCCATCCAGAGGGCCTTGTTGGGCTCCCCACACTCCTGCAGCATTGGCTGTGGGGAGGAGGGGGAGGCGTGGGGTAGGGGGAAAAGGGAAGGGAAGAATAAAGAGGAGGTGAAACAGCAGGTGGTGCCGCCTCAGCTCCATCCAGAGGGCCTTGTTGGGCGCCCCACACTCCTGCAGCATTGGCTGTGGGGAGGAGGGGGAGGCGTGGGGTAGGGGGAAAAGGGAAGGGAAGAATAAAGAGGAGGTGAAACAGCAGATGGTGCCGCCTCAGCTCCATCCAGAGCGCCTTGTTGGGCGCCCCACACTCCTGCAGCATTGGCTGTGGGGTAGGAGAGGGAGGCGTGGGGTAGGGGGAAAAGGGAAGGGAAGAATAAAGAGGAGGTGAAACAGCAGGTGGTGCCGCCTCAGCTCCATCCAGAGGGCCTTGTTGGGCGCCCCACACTCCTGCAACATTGGCTGTGGGGAGGAGGGGGAGGCGTGGGGTAGGGGAAAAAGGGAAGGGAAGAATAAAGAGGAGGTGAAACAGCAGGTGGTGCCGCCTCAGCTCCATCCAGAGCGCCTTGTTGGGCGCCCCACACTCCTGCAGCATTGGCTGTGGGGTAGGAGAGGGGGGTTTAGGGGGGAAAAGGGGGGGAAGGAGAGAGCAGGAAAGAGTGGCGTTGGACGAGAGAGAGGGGGTGAAAGACGGGTTCTGGTGCTGCCACCGCTGCATCCAGAGTGGCTTGTTTGGCGCCCCACACTCTTGGAGCATGGGCTGGGGGCAGGCAGGTGGAGGAGGGGGAGGGGTCGAGGAGGGCAGAAGAGGAGAGAGCGGGGAGGAGAGAGCAGGGGAGGAGGAGAGAGCAGGGGAGGAGGAGAGAGCAGGGGAGGAGGAGAGAGCAGGGGAGGAGGAGAGAGCAGGGGAGGAGGAGAGAGCAAGGGGGGAGGAGAGAGCAGGGGAGGGGGAGAGAGCAGGGGGGAGGAGAGAGCAGGGGAGGAGGAGAGAGCAGGGGAGGAGGAGAGAGCAGGGGAAGAGGAGAGAGAAGGGGAGGAGGAGAGAGCAGGGGAGGAGGAGAGAGCAGGGGGGGGAGGAGAGAGCAGGGGAGGAGGAGAGAGCAGGGGAGGAGGAGAGAGCAGGGGAGGAGGAGAGAGCAGGGGAGGAGGAGAGAGCAGGGGAGGAGGAGAGAGCAAGGGGGGAGGAGAGAGCAGGGGAGGGGGAGAGAGCAGGGGAGGAGGAGAGAGCAGGGGAGGAGGAGAGAGCAGGGGAGGAGGAGAGAGCAGGGGAGGAGGAGAGAGAAGGGGAGGAGGAGAGAGCAGGGGAGGAGGAGAGAGCAGGGGAGGAGGAGAGAGCAGGGGAGGAGGAGAGAGCAGGGGAGGAGGAGAGAGCAGGGGAGGAGGAGAGAGCAGGGGAGGAGGAGAGAGCAGGGGAGGAGGAGAGAGCAGGGGAGGAGGAGAGAGCAGGGGAGGAGGAGAGAGCAGGGGAGGAGGAGAGAGCAGGGGAGGAGGAGAGAGCAGGGGAGGAGGAGAGAGCAGGGGAGGAGGAGAGAGCAGGGGAGGAGGAGAGAGCAGGGGAGGAGGAGAGAGCAGGGGAGGAGGAGAGAGCAGGGGAGGAGGAGAGAGCAGGGGAGGAGGAGAGAGCAGGGGAGGAGGAGAGAGCAGGGGAGGAGGAGAGAGCAGGGGAGGAGGAGAGAGCAGGGGAGGAGGAGAGAGCAGGGGAGGAGGAGAGAGCAGGGGGGGAGGAGAGAGCAGGGGAGGAGGAGAGAGCAGGGGAGGAGGAGAGAGCAGCATGGAGGGAGATTGAGTGAGTTGATGTTGGAGGGTGCCGGTGGTGGTGGTGGGATAAGTTGGGTTTACAGAGAGGCATGTCAACACACAGCCACCCATCCATCCACCCACGAACCGATGCATGCACGCATACACCAACACACCCACGCATCCAGCCACCTATCCACACAGCCACCCGGCTACCCACCCGCACGCCCACACACCCACCCACACACCCACCCACACACCCACACACCCACCCATCTCCCCATCCCGGGACCAAATAGAGCGTGTCGACGTGGAACAGGTCCCCCTCGGCTGCTTTTGAGGTTTCTGAAAATGCATGCACCCATCCACCCACTTGCGCATGCACCCACACACCCACTCGCGCATGCACCCACACACCCACTCGCACATGCACCCACACACCCACTCGCGCATGCACCCACACACCCACTCGCGCATGCACCCACACACCCATGCTCCCATCCACCCACGCACCAAATAGAGCGTGTCGACGTGAAAGAGGTCCCCCTCGGTTGCCTGAAGGGCTCTCATGTCCGTCCGATTCACCCCTATGAAGATGCGGCCTATGCTGTCGTATAGGTCCCACTGTATGTGCGCAAAGGAGGTGAGAGGAGATTGAATGGGGATTGAGTGCAGTACCATGTTTGGGTAGTGACACCCGTTCACACCTGTGAAGATGCGGCCTATGCTGTCGTATAGGTCCCACTGCACTTGCGCAAGGAGGTGAGGGGAAAGGAAGAAGAAGTTGACCGTCAACAAAGTTTATAACCAAGACTGACGCGCATACACCCCGCGAAGCCATAAACCTAGTGCAATGAATGCCACTGCAAACTCCACTCCATTGCACTGCACTGGACTACACTGCAAGCTGCACTCCACTGCACTGCACTGCACTGCACACAAGGACGAGAGGGGGAAGGTCAACAAATGAGTTGCAATGAAAAGAAGTGTAATGAATGAAGGCTGACGACCGCGCAAGTCGTTGAGGTGGCTTGAGTCAACTCACAAACACAACCACCACCATTCCACGTACTCACACCACACATCCATACCCACCCACCCGCCCACCCACCCACCCTCATGCAGACATGCAGACATGCACACATGCACACATGCACCTGGAAGCGCTCTGCTATGATGGGCGTGTCTCTGAGGTTGGGCAGTGCTGCAGCGGCCACGAAGAAAGAAGGAATGGCCTCGACTAGGAAGTGGTAGAAGTTGCTGCCCTGCGTGTAGCCCCAGTCAAACGCCAGCTTCATGCGATGCACCTTCTGGCCCTGCGGGTAGGAGAACTGGGTGAGGGAGACAAGCGGGAGAGGGTGGAGAAGGGTGGAAAGGGGTTGAGGGTAAGTGACAAAGAAGGAAGGGATGGCCTCGACTAGGAAGTGGTAGAAGATGCTGCCCTGCGTGTAGCCCCAGTCAAACGCCAGCTTTATCCGATGCACCTTCTGGCCTTGTGGGTAGGAGAACTGGAGGAGAGGGGGGGAGGGGACAGGGAGGGGAGGGGTGGAGAGGGGTGGAGAAGGGTGGAGAAGGGTGGAGAAGGGTGGAGAAGGGTGAAGCGGGAAAAGTAGGAGACAACCTCGACGACCAGTCAAAGATTCAAAGGCCAGTTCAGCGTGATGAGTCTGTTATTTTAGAATTCTCAGAAAACAGTTGGTGCCCTCCCAGTAGCCCCAGTCAAAGGCCAGTTTAGGGTGATGCACCTTTTGACCCTGAGGGTAGGAATACTGGTTGAGGAAGACGACAGGACAGGCAGAGGTTCGAGGGGTGGGGAGGGGTGGAGAGGGGTTGAGGGTGAAGTGAAGCGATGACGAAGGAAGGGGCGGCCTCCAATAAGAAGTGGTAGAAGCTGGCGACTTGTGGGTAGTCCCACTCAACTGTCAGTTCTATCCGATGCACCTTCTGGCCCTGCGGGTATGTATGAGAACTGGAGGAGAGAGTTGAGAGGGCCGCGGGTGAAGAAGGGCGGAGAAGAGCGGAATGGAAAGGGGTGGAGGAGAAGGGAGGAGGGGTTGAAGGGAGGAGGGGTTGAAGGGAGGAGGGGTTGAAGGGAGGAGGGGTTGAAGGGAGGAGGGGTTGAAGGGAGGAGGGGTTGAAGGGAGGAGGGGTTGAAGGGAGGAAGGGTTGAAGGGAGGAGGGGTTGAAGGGAGGAGGGGTTGAAGGGAGGAGGGGTTGAAGGGAGGAGGGGTTGAAGGGAGGAGGGGTTGAAGGGAGGAGGGGTTGAAGGGAGGAGGGGATAGCCTCGACTAGGAAGTGGCAGACGTTGCTCCCCTGTGAGTAGCCCCAAACAAAGGCCGGCTTGATGCGACACATTTTGTTTGTGGCCTTGCGGGTATCAGTACTGGGTGAGGGAGAGATGAACGGAAGGGAGGTATGGGGGAGGGTGAGGGGATGGCCTCGACTAGGAAATGGTAGAATTTGCTCCCCTGCGAGTAGCCCCAGTCGACGACGCGAGGCACCTTCTGCCCCTGAGGGTACGAGTACTGGGTGAGGGTGATGGGAAGGTGAGGGGGGTGGAGAAGGGTGGAAAGGGGTGAGGGGATAGCCTCTAATTGAACCCGTTTTTTTCCTAGATACGAGCGCTAGTGGGTTGGCATTGAAGGGAGAAGAGGAGGGAAAGGGTGGAGGAGGGAAGGGAGGGAGAGGAGGTGATGGAGCACTGCGCTCCTCACAGTAACCCTCACTCACTTTTGAGTCGACTCAAAAGTCACCTCGAGAGGTGATGGAGCACTGCCCTCCTCACAGTCACTCACCGGGTTGAATCGCTTGCAGCCTTGGTGCACGTATAGGTGGGTGGCGTTGAAGACAAAGCCCTTGTAACTATCCCTACGCATACACGCCCTTTCTAGTCAAGATGTTAACTCATGGAAACCCTCACACTCACTGGGTTGAATCGCTTGCAGCCCTGGTGCACGTATCGGTGGGTGGCGTTGAAGACGAAGCCCTTGTGTGTCACCATGACCTCATGCAGGCGAAACACCTGCATGAGGCACAGCATGAGGCACAGCATGAGGCACAGCATGGCGCATGGCATGGCGTGGGAACGGGACAGGGGCATGAATCATGGGGCACGGGGCGGGCGGGCATGATGCATGGGGCATGGAGCATGAGGATTGGGGCATGGGGCCTGCATGGGCATGGGGCGCTGCCACATTGGCATGGGGCGCTGCCACATTGGCATGGGGCGCTGCCACATTGGCATACGGGTGCACTATGGACAAACACCTGCTCAAAGACATGCACCTGTATTGAGACTCAAAGGTACCTCGGAATGAACCATGGCCAGCACGCCTACCCTAGACACACGCACCTGACATTGAGACGACTCAGATGAAGCCATTTTATAGTCGAGTAAAAAATAAACTAAACACACGCACCTGACATTGAGGCGACTCAAATTTCATCTCGGGACACACCACAGACACCACACCCGTCCAGCAGCCCAAAAGGCACGCACCCGCACAAACACTCGCACCCGCACAAACACTCGCACCTGCACAAACACTCGCACCTGCACAAACACTCACACCCACACAAACACTCGCACCCGCACAAACACTCGCACCTGCACAAACACTCGCACCTGCACAAACACTCGCACCTGCACAAAAACTCGCACCTGCACAAACACTCGCACCTGCACAAACACTCGCACCTGCACAAACACTCACACCTGCACAAACACTCGCACCTGCACAAACACTCGCACCTGCACAAACACTCGCACCTGCACAAACACTCGCACCTGCACAAACACTCGCACCTGCACAAACACTCGCACCTGCACAAACACTCGCACCTGCACAAACACTCGCACCTGCACAAACACTCGCACCTGCACAAACACTCGCACCTGCACAAACACTCGCACCTGCACAAACACTCGCACCTGCACAAACACTCGCACCTGCACAAACACTCGCACCTGCACAAACACTCGCACCTGCACAAACACTCGCACCTGCACAAACACTCGCACCTGCACAAACACTCGCACCTGCACAAACACTCGCACCTGCACAAACACTCGCACCTGCACAAACACTCGCACCTGCACAAACACTCGCACCTGCACAAACACTCGCACCTGCACAAACACTCGCACCTGCACAAACACTCGCACCTGCACAAACACTCACACCTGCACAAACACTCGCACCTGCACAAACACTCGCACCTGCACAAACACTCACACCTGCACAAACACTCGCACCTGCACAAACACTCACACCTGCACAAACACTCGCACCTGCACAAACACTCACACCTGCACAAACACTCGCACCTGCACAAACACTCGCACCTGCACAAACACTCGCACCTGCACAAACACTCGCACCTGCACAAACACTCGAAAGCAGACTCACACCTACCGTTCAAGCAGGCCGCACCTGCATGGCGGACGGCTCTCGGGGGTTGAAGTCTCTCGAATGAGAGCACGTCTTGTCATGGTTCTGCCACGGCACCCGCAGATTCTTAAGGGGGGCCTTCTTGGGGCAGTTGAGGGGCGCGCGAGCGGGTAGCAGCAGAGGCGCGTCGAGATGCTCGTTCCAGCACGCGTGCACGTTGGGGTAGGCAGAGCCGCAGGGGGCGAAATCGGGACAGGGAGGACCGTGGCAGCGAATCAGATCGCCGAACCTGGGGGGGTTGAGGGCGGGAGGAAGAGGAGGTGTGTTCAGTTGAGGCTAAAGGGCTCGGGGCAGAGACAAGCGAGGCGGTGTGCTTGCCTTGCACTGAGTGATCCATCCATCCAGCGAATTCGATCTGATCCTGCGGGCGGGTGGCAGAAGAGGCGACTTTTGAGGCGCCTCAAAAGTGACAAGCGAGCGGGTGTGCTTGCACTTGCACTCAGTGACCCGTCCCGCATGTTTTTGAGTCGACTAAAAAACGGAGCAGTCAGGAGACAAGCGAGCAGGTGTGCTTGCACTAAGCAATTCATCCATCCAGCGACTTCAATCCTGTGAGCGGGTGGGCAGCAGGAGAGGTGCGTTGAGGAGGGGGTTCTGTCAAGAGAGGAGAGGTGCGTTGAGGAGGGGGTTCCAGCACGGATGCACGTTGGGATAGGCAGAGCTGTAGGGGGCGACTTTTGAGTCGACTCAAAAGTAGGCATAGCTGCAGGGGGCGAAGGCAGGGCAGGACAGGGCGGGACAGCGAATGAGAGCGCTGAACCTGAAGTAGGATAGAGGAGAAGTCGGGCGGGAGAAGGACTTTTCCCGCTGCACGTTTTCTAACTGAAAAAACGAGCACACACCCGTGGAGCCACATTCCCTTAACTCTCCCCCTTTCCCCCTCGCCCTCTCACTGCTTGTCAACAATGCCAGCTTGGAACGACCAAGCATTCCCCCGAACCGAACCACTTCCCCCTTCTTCCCTCCCTCCCTCCTCACCCCCCTTTTTCCCGACACGCTCCCTCACTTGTCAAGCCGCGCTAAAACGCGCCGGCATGGCGTTGCTCTGCTGCAACTCTTGAGATGAGACGTCTCAACAAACGTTGGCATAGCGTTGCTCTGTTGCGAGACGCCAAAGATAGCAAGTGGAAACGAACCTGCGCACCGCTGCTGTCGGTGATGGCAAGGTGGCGCCAGCAAGCACCCATGAAGCCACTTCTCTTTATTCCCTCACATCCCCCCCCTTCCCCCTCCTCTCCCCTGCACCCCACCGCCCACTCACTTGTCCAACCGTTCTCGAAACGCCAGCATGACATTCGTCTGCTCGCTGCTGTGAACAATGGCTAGCTAGAATCAACACGCACCTTCAAGAACCACTTCTGCAGCCTGCTCCCCCAAAACCGCGCCCCCGGACCCCTCTACCTCCATCCTTCCCCCCTCTACCCCTTCATACGCTCTCTCACTTGTCAAACCGCTCTCGGTATGCCAGCATGACGTTCTTCTGCTCGCTGCTGTCGACGGCGGCAAGTTAGAATAAGCAAGCACCCCCAAAGCTACTTCTCTTTACCCAACCCCCACCTCCTCCTACACCCCACCGCTTTCTTCTCACTTGTCAAACCGCTCTCGGTGTGCCAGCATGACGTTCTTTTGCTCGATGCTGTCGATGGCACGTGGCAACGCCTCCAGAGGCAACTGTAGGCGCTCTGGACTCATTCTGGTGATGGTGGTGTGGGAGGGGGGGAGAGGGAGGGGGAAGGGAGTGAGTGAGTCGCATGGCACGTGGCAGCGCCTCTAGAGGCAACTGTAGGCGCTCTGGACTCATTCTGGTGATGTGATCGTGGAGGGGGAGGAAGGGGTGGGGGGGGGGGGGGTTGTGTGGAGGGGTGGGTTGGGTGGGTGAGAAGGAGAGGGAGGGTGGAGCGAGTGAGTGAATAAAATGGCCTGCAAAAGAACCTCCTGGCTTTAGGTTTGAAGGTTTAGGGTTAAAGGTTAAGGGTTTAGGGGGCAGGCAGCTGTAGCGCTCAGGTGGACTCATAGCGGAACCTGGAATGGTGGACCGTGGATGTAGGGGAAGAGGGGGGTATGCATGGGGAAGAGGGGGGTATGCATGGGGAAGAGGGGGGTATGCATGGGGAAGAGGGGGGTATGCATGGGGAAGAGGGGGGTATGCATGGGGAAGAGGGGGGTATGCATGGGGAAGAGGGGGGTATGCATGGGGAAGAGGGGGGTATGCATGGGGAAGAGGGGGGTATGCATGGGGAAGAGGGGGTATGCATGGGGAAGAGGGGGGTATGCATGGGGAAGAGGGGGGTATGCATGGGGAAGAGGGGAGACGCGGGGGCAATGTGAATTGCACGGGATGTAATGTGAAGTGGAGGCAACTTCAGAGGCAGTTTTGGGTGGTCAAGGGGGGGGGGGGGGGAGGTGGGGCAGGCACCGGGGGTTGGTGGGCGGGGGGTGTGGGGAGGGAGGGTGAAGTGGTGCGGAAGATGGGGAGTGGGCAAGCAAGGCGTTGGAAGGTGAAACTACGTACACAGGCAGCAAGAAAGAACGGTACAGAGGCACACGCACGCACGCACGCACACAAGCCACAACTTGCTTGCGTTTGTGTGTCGCTGCTGGGGTGTGTGGAGGAAGGAACATAGATTCACAAAAAGACTCACCCAAGACTGCCTCTTATTCAGGCCACCAGCACGTCACGAGTCACGAGTCAAGACCACAGCAAGCTCGCTCGTTAAACACACCATCCGAGAGCCAGGGGAGAGAGAAGCACAGTAAACTCATCGATAGCTGGAATTTGTCTACGGTGTCAGTCAGCGGCACCACAAAGTCTTGCCCACCCTTAAACACACCAGGGAAGAGTAACAGGTACACTCACCGAATGGACATGGGAATGTGCCTATCCAATGCGTCAGGCACAACCCCCTCCGGCACAATCCCCCCATGGTCCATCCCTGCTGCACCCCGCTCCTCTTCTCTCCCCCTCCCCCCACCACCAGCTCCCACTCCGCCAGCCGCCAAGCGCCCTAGCTTATCAGAGCCGTCAGAGGGAACTCGTTGATCAGAGCCTTGAGATGACTTCTGAGTCGACTCAAAGGCTCCCAATCCGCCTGACGCCAAACCCCCTAGCTGATCCAAGCCCTCAGGGAGAAGTAGCTGATCCAAGCCCTCAGGGAGCAGGACGTAGTTTCGGCCGTGTGGGTTGGAGGGTTGTGGCTGGATGGAGGCGTGGGAGGAGGAGGGCAGCAGCTGGTGGTGCAGCTGCTGCTGCAGCTGACCCACTCGGCCCAGCAGCGGCCCTGAGTTGTCCACTATCTCTGATTCTGCTGCGAGTTTGAAGGGCAACATAGGGGTTGGGGAGGGGAAAAGAGGGGTGGAGACGGAAAAAGAGGGGGTGGGAAGGGGAAAATAGGGGGTGGGGAGGGGAAACGAGGGGGTGGGGAGGGGAAGAGAGGGGGTGGGTAGGTTAAAATCTGTCGGCTCGACTCGACTCAGCAGCAGTTGACCCACTTGGCCCAGAAGCACCCCTGTGTTGTCCACTAGATCGGATTATGCTGCGGGTATGGGGGTGGAGGGGAAGAGAGGTTTGTGGAGAGGGACAGACAGGGGTGGGGAGGGGAAGACAGGGGCTGGGTTTACTTTTGTGAATTGACTCAGCAGCAGCTGTCCCATTCGGCCCTGCACTGGCCAACGTTAGGAAAGACGCAGCCAGGACGCTGCGTCCTGCGTCTGGACGCAGCGTCCAGACGCTAGGACGCAGGACGCGCGTCCAGACGCAGGACGCACGGCGAAATTTTTTTCGGGCAGCCCGAAAAAAAATTCGATCGCGATTTTGACATTCGCGATTTCGTCGCGAATGTCGAAATCGCGAAATTTCGACCCCCCAACCCTAATTCGACATTGTAAACCAGCCCCCCCAACATTTCATATCAACTCATGCAAAATGGCATTTCACTCAAACCTCTCAGGATGTGTGATTGTTGACTAGATGCAGTGCACTGGTAGTTTAGTAGATGGTCGTTAAAGCGACGGGCAACTTTTGGCAGTGTTGGGTTCAGAAGTTTTTTTTTTGAACCAGGCTTGCCAGCGCGAAAGTGCTGGCTGGCGAAAACCAGGATTTCGTGCGGACACTTTCCATCCGCAGTAACAGTTCGCCAGGGTTCTGGGTTTTGGTTGGATTAAATTGAACTTAATGTGTGTGAGACCTTGTGAAATGCGTGACGCGTGACTCACCTTAAAGTTAAATTTTGGGGGAAAATTTTGAGGCTGGGGAAAAATTTGCCTATTCCCCCCCCCCCCCCCCCTCTCCCAAGCCCTATTCACTTTTTTTTTTGCCTGCCCGGGGTTTTTTTTTGCCCTGCCCGGGCTTGCGTCTTGGGGTGCGTCTTACAGGTCCAGGTTTTGCGTCCTGCGTCTGGACGCATGCGTCTGGACGCATTCGTCCAGGACGCAGGACGCGTCTTTCCTAACATAGCTGGCCATGTGACCTGGCCTACGTCTAAATCTGTTGCGGGTGTGGAGGTGAAACGAGGGGTTGAGTCGGTTTATTTTTGTCGACCTCAACAGCAGAATCACCACATGCAATCGTTGTCCGATTTATCTCCTTTTTGTTTTTGTTACGGTATTGAGACAGTTCTACAGGGTAAATCACAGAACAAGGGGAAAAGCCATATGCCAAAGGGCAAGAGTGTGATGTGCTTACCTGCTAGGGTGACAGTAACGAGGGTCGCCACGTGGCAAACAGCCAGCAGAAGGCTGCTCAAAATGCGTGCCGCGCGCCAATCGGATTTTGCGTGCCACCTGGATCCCGCGCGCCATTTACTTCCCGCGCGCCTTTCACGCAGGACGGCATCATGGCAGTCCAAATCCATGGGCTATTCCGTGTTAACGCCGTTCTTACAATGCATTACCGGCCCTGCGTCGCTTCGGTGACAGCGTCTCGTGCCTATGGGACCACAGTTGTGTGCTTGTACGCACTACAGTATTACACCATGATACACCTATCCAGCTACTACGAGCATACTATCGTTTGTTATGCCGACCAGGCATGATGCTCACTGCATCAATTCTGCATATACAGATTACTGATCTTTTAACTCATTCTTTTCGAATTTGCGAAGATTTTAAAGCCGAATTTCCAAATTTGGTCTGGAGCGTCCTTAGAGGATGCCGCGTAGATCCGAATCGTGCGCGGGAAACGCGCGCAGCCGTTGATCAAACGCAAAAGAGCGCTGCGCGCCGAGCGGAGTCGAGCCGGACATGTCATACACCAGGAAATAAGCGACTCGTTTCGGAAAACCGAGCGAGAGTGAGTGATATGATAGCCGATACTGTACTCCTGATAAGCACCAGCGTCTCACCAAATAGTAGGCACTGGCTACAACGTCAGAAACGCCATCCCAACCGTTTGCAGCAGCCATCATAACAGTTCACTGGTCATCGAAGTTGAGCGCCATTTGATTCTTTGCACGGTGAAGAGCACTTCTTTGATGGAAGATTGCGCTTCTTAGCGGTTTAGTGAGATTCAGTGGTGCAAGCCAGTGATAAGGTCAGATGTCCTTGTGATGGAAATGTTGTGAGACTTGTCGTTACAAAAAGTGCAGACCGACCTCATCTGGTTACGGTCGGTTACAGCCGTCGATCTTTCCGATGAGCTGGGGCCTCGCGAAAAACGGACCAACCAACCAACCACCAGCAGCTGACGGTGCTGGGGTAGTATCGCACTTGTTCAAGCGCTCACTCGATAAAACGCTTTTGAACACTTTTACTAAAAAAGGAAGTGCTTTAATCTGATCTGCTATTGTGTGTACAAGCAGGTTTGGCTCTGACTATCTAAGCTCCACTTTCCAAGTGCTCTGGTGCACCACTCAAACAGAAAATGATAATGACGTTCTACCTGTTTTTTGGCAAGCCTCTCACGTTTCACACACTCATGGCTCAAGAATATTTAGAAGGCAGTGCTTCATGGGACGAGTTTCTTTATTTAGAATAAGGAAGCGCCTCTTCGACTCGAACCACGACAGAGTCGCCCAGTTTCTGCACCACCACCACCCGGTCATGCTTCCTCAGCACTCCAATACGCTGGCCCTGACGAATGGCCTCCTTAAGAACAGTCTCGTTAGTGGATACATCGCTTTGCTCCTGTGGGGCAAGAAAGAGCGTAGGCATAGGTACCCATTAGACGACCATGTGATGGTACTGCTGACATAGACTGAAAAGAGCTCAAAGAGTGACACCATGAGGATGTTGACAGAAAGGGAGCCAACAAGGACGATGGAGACATCAAGAATAGCCCAATGTGCAGCTGTGTTAGGAGGGGAGCCAGGGGCTCAGATACAACACCCAAGTTGCAGCTTTGAGGTGAGTCCAATCCCAAGTTTGCTTGATTCGGTCCTTCAATATTTCTTATCTGAGCTGTTTCATGTTGTAACAAGGCATTTTTACTGTTGAAGCTGTAAGTGTGTTCACTTTGCCTTATTGAGCTTCAGCTGTGTAACACATTTTACTGTAGACATACCAGTGTCTTGGGTGTAGCCATCATGGGGATGAGGCCACGCATAAGACAACACATGTGAGCCTGTTGCCGTGGAAAGTAGGGGCAGGGGAGATTGAGGGTTCAAGAGGAAAGGTGAAAGGATGGTAAGACTCAAACTCAGAGGCATTGGAAACAATATGGGTTTGAGGAACTCAATAGACGCAAGATGCAGTGGCTAAAGCAAGCAGCAGAGGAATCTAATAGAGGATAAATAAACATTAGAAACATGAAGACTTTGAAAATGGAAATTGGTGGGATTGGGACGTCTGGAGAGTGGAGGGTTGGTTGTAGAGTCAACGACAGCAAGAGGATGTGACAGTACCACGAGCATTGCGTCTCTGAAAGCACAGAACTTGCCCTGCACCATTTTGCATGCAGCCTATACCATGCAGAGAACAACAGGATAGAACTCTATCAGGGAATTCACCCTGCACCGTCCATCTGAGCTTATCAACTCACCGGGAATTCACCCTGCACCGTCCATCTGTGCTGATCAACTCACCGGGAATTCACCCTGCACCGTCCATCTGAGCTTATCAACGTAGAGGCGCGGAATGACGAGTGTGAGCACGGGCATGGTTGGCTTGTACTTGGCCACGAGCCTGAGTTAGGGGAGGGGAGGGAGATTGAAGCAGTGGGAGGCAGGTAAGGGAGAGAGGGAGAGGTGCGGGTTGGCAGAATGACGAGTGTGAGAGCTCGGGCATGGTTGGCTTGTACTTGACCATGAGCCTGGGATGGGGGAGGGGAGAAAGAGAGGGGAGAAATTGAGGGGGTAAGGGAGGGAAATAAGAGGAGGAAAGGGGAGGGGAGAGGCGTGGAATGATGAAAGGAGGCACGGGCGTGGTTGGCCGCGAGCCTGGGATGGAAGAGAGAGGGCAAGGGAGAGGGCAAGGGAGAGGGCAAGGGAGAGGGCAAGGGAGAGGGCAAGGGAGAGGAATAAGAGGAAGGAAGCGGAGGGGAGAAGCGTGGAATGATGTGTTTGAGAGCTGGCATGGTTGGCTTGTACTTGAGCCTGGGATGGAAGAGAGAGACGTGGGCGAAAGGGAGGGAGGGAGGGGGAGTGCATTGGTTTGGGGTACTGGGAGGGAGGGAAGAGGTGTGGAGGGAGCAGGGTGAGCACAGGCATGGGCGGCACGGCACTGTACTTGGCCACGAGCGTGGAAGGGTTACTGCAGGTACGGACGGCTAGTGCCTGGGAAGGGGCCCCTCTGAAGAGAGAAGACGCAGGTGAGAGGAAAGGAAGCGAGTGACCACCTGACAGGAGCATCAGGTGACGTCCAGCAGATGACATACCTGAAAAAAAATCACAGCTGATTTTACCTGGAAAGGTCTACAGGCGACTCACCTGGCCATTCTTCCAGAGGAGGTGAACACCACAATTGCCGCTGCATGCACCTTCTCTGCTGTTTTCACCTGCCAGGTGAATTAAGGTAAATCACAAGAAAAAAGAATCACCTCATCAGAACACAGTCCCACAGATACTTCTCCATGCCTGAAGGGCAGATGCCCTTAAGTGCTGTAGGTGCCTTATTGAGCCCTGAATTTTGGGGTGCACTCCGAGCGTACAACCATTATTACTTAATTCGCGTACGCAGTATAAGCAGATTCGATAAGAGACTTACCGCGGATGAGGCCATGGCTTCGAGCTCGCTCATGGTGTCAGTGGCTTCCTTCACCGCCTTCTTGAAATAGAGCTCCTGGTTGTATGCCTTCTCTGCCTGGCAGGGGGGAAAGGGGATGCACAAGGTGGTATAAGAGGCAAGAGAGTTGGATGGGGTAAAGCTCTGTCAACTTGGTTGAGCTAAAAGTACTACCGCCACCGCCTTCTTGGAATAGAAAGGCTATTTGGCTTCCTTGACCGCCTTCTTGAAAATAGAGCTCCTGATTGTACGCCTTGTCTGCCTGGCAGTTGAATGGGGGTTGCACGAGGGAGTATAGATGAAAGAGAGCAGAGAGTGGTGAAAGAGAGCAGAGAGTGATGAAAGAGAGCAGAGAGTGGTGAAAGAGAGCAGAGAGTGATGAAAGAGAGCAGAGAGTGATGAAAGAGAGCAGAGAGTGATGAAAGAGAGCAGAGAGTGGTGAAAGAGAGCAGAGAGAGGCATGCACGCACGTATTTTTCAACACATGATGCGAAACATTATCATGCAGATGCGAAACCTCACTGGAGCTACATCACAGAAAAACGAGTATCCCTGGGATAAACAAAACACGTCTGCTTGACAAAGATGAAACTCACAATGGCACAGATGAAACGCACCTCGGCACAAATGAGGCGCACGGTTGAAACCGTCTCAGTAGGGTACAGCCCTCTGAGCGTCTCAGCTCCCAGCATAATGGCGTCCACACCTGGACAGAGGAATGCCGAGGAAAAAGAAAAAGAAAAAAAAAAAAAAAAAAATCTAGTATACCAGAAAACAAAAACGCCAGCCCTCTTTGCCTCTCAGCTACCAGCATGATTTGAATAGCGGAATGTCAAGGAGGAAAGAACAAGACCAGAACAAAGAGGTAAAAAAGGGGATGAGCGACCTGAGGATGGGGAAGTTAGAAAGCCAGCATGTAACAGCATGACTGTACGTCAACCCATCCCACCCACCCACCCACCCACCCACCCACCCACCCACCCACCCACCATCCAGCACAGCGTTAGCGACGTCAGTGGCTTCGGCACGAGTGGGGCGGGGCGTGTCTGTCATCGTGTCGACCACTCGCGAGATGACACATGGCTTGCCCGCCATGTTGGCCTTGTAGATGGCCACCTTCTGCATCAGAAACACCTGGTTGTGGGATGAACAGAGGGAGGGAGAGGGAGGAAAGGTATAAAGTATGAGCATATGTTGGCACATGGCTTGCCTGGGCCTTGTAGATGGCCACCTTCTGCATCAGAAACACCTGCTCAGATTCGATTGCATGGAGAGAGGGAAATATGAAGAAGTCGTTCAATAGAAGAGCAGACGTTATGTCGTCCCCAAGTTCCCAAACTCCCCGGGCCTGTTGCCTTTGTATGTCACAACCTTCTGCATCAGAAACACCTGCTTAGGTTCGATCTTATAGAGAGAAAAATGTGCAAGTTAAGTATGACAAAAAAGCAGCTGATCGACATGTCATCTCAAGTTCCCAAACCTCGTGGGCCCGCTGCTTTTGTAAGTCACCACCTTCCGCATCAGAGGCACCAGAGCAAAGGATGTCACAGGGAGAAATGCTCTCAGCAGGTAATGCACTGGAGGTTTGGAATACAGCCTGCCTAGCCTAGCAACTCACCACCCTGCCCCGATTTTGAGTCGACTCAAAAGCAATGCCTAGCCTAGCAACTCACCACCCTGCCCCGCTGCACCCTTGTTTTATCAATACAATGACCGCTTCAGGCTAGGCTGCCTGGTTGGTCTGGCAGTGGTCTGGGAGTAAGCAAGGTATTGGTAGTTATTGAGAGGTAATACCTTACCAATTTTAGGTGCCTTCAGAGTGGTTATACCTTCTCCGCAGGCAGGTCGATTCCAAGGTCGCCTCGGCCCAGCACAAGCCCATCTGCTTCTGCCAGAATCTCGTCGATCCTCCTCAACCCCTGTATGTGCGCATAGACATGCAGACATCCATAGATGCACAGCCATGCACAGCCATGCACAGCCATGCACAGACACAGACACAGACACAGCACGTACGCACACACGCACGCACGCGCGCGCGCGCGCACACACACACACACGCACACAACACACATGCAGGCACACACACCATGCGTACACACACACACATACACACGCACAGCGCACACACACACACATGCACACACGCACAGGACATATACACAAAAACTATGAGCCTTTGAGCCAAGGTTCAAAATTACGGTTTTCGTAAAATACGGTCCGTTTTTTACGGTCGTTTTTTACGGTGATTTTTCAAAAAAACGGCCGTTTTTTTGTTAGAGATCTCTGTTCACCAAGAAAAAAAAAGAAAAAAACAAGGTCAAAAACATTTTCGATCATGCCAACAAGCGCATACATGCAAGAAGGGGTCCATCCCCTTCATGCTGCTGCATTTCGGGTTCAATTTGGTCCCAATAAGTGGCCGTTTTGTTAGTTATAGAGGAAACACATCCTGGAACCGTTTTAAACCGTTTTTTACGACCGTTTTTTACGGTACCGTTTTTTACGGTGAAATTTCAATAAAACGGTCGTTTTTTTGAACCCTGCTTTGAGCACAGCACTCCGCACGTATGAGCCTTTGAGCACAGCAATCCGCACGTTATGTTTGCATACATGGGCGCATGGGCGCATGGGCTGCAGAAGCGATCAGGGGCAGCATGGGCGCGTGGACATATGCTCCTAGTCTTAGTGCCACAGATGATTCCAGGTGGGAAGGGAACTGAATCCTCTGAGCCACCTGAATGCTCTCTATCTTGGCAAAGATGAAGGCCTGCTAGAGCATGCCCAGTCGGGTGAGCTTACCTTGAGTCGACTCACAAGTCAACTGTGGAAGAGTCTTGGCTGAATTTAGAAACAGCACCGCGACACAGAACAACAAACGGTGGCGTGGAGCAAGGTGAGCGCACCTGAATGCTCTCTATCTTAGCGAAGATGAAGGCCTGGGAGAGCTTCCCCAGTTGGGCGAGGTATTTGCGAGCCTGGTGGGTTGGAGAAAGTTGGAGAGGGGATGGAGAGGGACGGGGAGGGATGCCCGAATGGGGATGGAATGAGGGGAGTAAGGAGGAAATTTGAGCTTGCATAGTGCGATCCCTACGAGGGTTGGGGAGGATGGCCTGGTTGGTAAGGGAGAGGGAGGGATAGGGAGGGATGGGGAGGGAGAGGGAGGGATGGGGAAGGTTGGGGAGGGATTGGGAGGGATGGGGAGGGAGAGGGGGTGATGGGGAGGGATGGAGAGGGATGGGGAGCATTTGTCCATTCTCTCACTCGATTGTTGTGTGGCAAGCAGAAAGTGTGTTTTTTTGTGTTACAATCATCTACTCACGTATCTGACGTCCTCTGCGTTGCGAGTGAAGGAGAGGAAGTTGATGTGCGGCAAGCAAAGGCTGCTTAAGCTCTAGGCGGCTCATTGTTGTGAGGCACGGACAATGTGTGTTTTGTGGAGTTAGAATCAGTGACTTACATATCTGACGTCCTCTGCATTGCGGGTGAAGGAGAGGAAGATGATGTGTGGCAAGCAGTTCACTCCCCACGTGGACAGGTGGCGCTCGTCCACCTTGGAGAGAATGGGCATGTCCGTGTCCACCTGTGGTGTGATGGGGCGAGTCAAGTGTGGGGAGAAAGTTGTGACTGAGAGAGGGGACAGGCACATAATTGCAGCAAGTAGTGCACTCCCCACGTGGACAGGTGGCGCTCATCCACCTTGGAGAGAATAGGCATGTCTGTGTCAACCTGTGCGTGAGAGAGAGAGGAGGATGGGGAGGGAAGTTTGCAGCAATAGCCAGGTGACAGCAGCAACCAGCGCACTTGACAGGTGGTGCTCGTCCACCTTGGAGAGGATGGGCATGTCCGTGTCCACCTGAGATAGACGATTCAAGGCCGAGAGAAGGGAATGGAAGGGGGTGGGAGAGGGTGGAACGGGGTGGGAAGGAACAGGTGACGCTCGTCCACCTACGGGACGATAGGCATGTCCGTGTCCACCTGTGATGGGCGGGCGAGGAGGGTGTGAGGGGGGAGGGCGTGAGGGAGGAGAGGGTGTAACTGTACAAGAGAATAACTTGGAGGAGATGGGAATATCCGTGTCCAGCTGAGATGGGGCGAGAGGAGAAGTGCCTGGAACGAAATAAAAGGAAGTGGAAGAAGACAGAGGAACCCCGTGTCCAGCTGTGCTGTGACAGATGGAGTAAGGCGCGAGAGGAGAAGAAGGGGAGAAAAGGGAAACTCAAGGGAAAAAAGCATGCCCGTCCATCCGTGTCGACGTGTGATGAGGCGAGTCAAGTGGGATGGGGCCGTACCTGAGCAGCATGCACGGTGAATAAGTCCCCTTGGAGCTCTGGCGAGCTGGTTACCGTGCACACTATGTCCCCCTCCTTCACCTCTGAGACTCTGAGTCTCTTCCTTTTAAGAGTTCCCAAAGTGATTTCGTACCTGAGCAGCATGCACGGTGAAGAAGTCCCCTTGCAGCTCTGCCGTGTTGGTCACCGTGCACACAATGTCGTCGCCCTTCACCTCCTCCACCTGGGTGGAAACGGGTGGGGAGGGGTTGAGTGCAGGGGAGAAAGAGTGGAGGGGAAAGAGAAATGGGAGGAGGTGGTTTGAGAAAGACGTTTATGGAATTCCAAGAAGAAACACACCACGGCACGGCGTTCCCTTTCACCTCCTCCATCAGGGGGCGAGTGCAGTTGAGTGGCTGGGAAGAAGGAAGGGGGAGGGAGTAAGAGGGGGGGGAAGAAGGGGAAGGGGGGAGGAGGGGGAAAGGAGTGGCAAGAAGAAGGAAGAGGATGACTCAAGTCTTTGCACACAATGCCGTCACCCTTCATGTCCTGCATTTGTGGGCGTGGGCGACTGCAGTTGAGTAGGGGGCGAAGGGGGGGGGGGAAGGAACAGACGGAGAAGGTGGAAGATAGGTGGGTGGGAGAGAAAGGAAAGGATAGATTGACAGCGTTGCTTGCATGCACGCACGCATATTCTTATTCGTTCGTTATTTTCATTCCAAGTCCACAGTGCTCACCTTGAGCCACACAGATGTGGTTTCACTGCCTGTGAAGAGGTAGCGCCCCACAAACACCTCGTCCCCTGGCTTCACCGCCTGGAGTGGGATGGGCAGGGACAGGGAAGATAGGGAGCAGTGAAAACTTTATGTGAGTGGCTGAAAACATGTGCCTGTTGGTGATGGTCTCGCTGCCTGTGAAGAGGTAGCGCCCCACAAACACCTCGTCCCCTGGCTTCACTGCCTGGAAGATGAGAGGGAGGGGGATATAAGAGGCGGTGGTATTTGATGTGGTTTAAAACATGTGCCTCTGTGCTTGCTGGCGCTGCCTGTGAAGAGGTAGCGCCCCACAAACACCTCGTCCCCTGGCTTCACCGCCTGGGGTTTAGGTGGAGGGAGAGGGACGGAGGTGGAGAGTAGGACGTGGGATTTGATGTGATTGGATGAGAGCAAGTAATGAATTTCAGGATGGAAGGAGACGGACGGAGGGGACAGAGAGATGGTGAGGAAATGAGAGAAGCGAGCATGCGTACGCGCGCCGCGCGCGCGTACACACACACACACACACACACACACACACACACACACACACACACACACACACACACACACACAGGCCGCTCCCGCTCACCTTGGCGAGTTGGGGGCAGGCGAGGGGCAGCGCCTGGGCAGTGACGGGTTGATCCTTGTCGCCCGACAGCACCACCGTGCTGCCCGCTGTCATCGTCACTGTCGCGCTGCTGCTGTTGAATATGGTAATCTCAGGCCCGTGCGTGTCGTACACAACCTGCAGGAGGGGGGGGATAGGGGTGGGTGGGGTGGGGTGGGGTGGGGAGACATGAGGAGGCAGGGGGCACATGAATGAGGTACACACACGGACGGATGGATGCATGAATGTGTCTAGAGTCATCGTCACTGTCGCGCTGCTGCTGTTGAATATGGTGATTTCAGGCCCGTGCGTGTCGTACACAACCTGACAGAGGGTGGGAGAACAAGGGAAATGCATGTGTGCGTGAGGCTGTGCTTGTGATTTATATGGCAGTGATTGCTGCTGCTGCAGATGGAGTTTTCGGGTCCGTGCGTGTCATACAGTCTGTGGGGGGGTGCAATGGGGCATGAGGAGGTGGGGTGAGGTGATGGTGGCAAGAACGAAAGATCGTTTATCCGTTTATGTAGCATTCTGGTGCTGAGTCTGACTGACTGCCATGAGTGTTGTTGTTGCTGATGGTGTTCTCAGGGCTGTACTGTGTCTGTCGGTGGGCGGCAGTATCCTAAACGCCCGACGGTGTTAATTAAATTTAAACCCGTCTTACCGCGCCGCGCACATGCGGTGAGTACCGTACAGTACAGTGTTGGTGTTTCTTATGGTAACAGTTTAAATCCGTCCCGACTTACCGCGCACATGCGGTGCGTTTTCTTCATGGCAGCCCTTAGGTTGTCGTACGTCTCCTGGTGGTTCTCCTGGTCGTTCACAGAAAAGTCGAATCGTGCAGCTGTCAGGGGGTGACGGTGGGGAGAAGAGGAGAGAGGGGCGGGAGTGAGCCTTCTATGTGTCTCCTGCGATGTCGCTCACTAAGGAAGCGAACCGTGCAGCTGTACGGGGTCAGGTGGATGGGAGGAGGACGACGAGGTTTGGTTTGAGAGAAGAAGGGAGGGAGGCAGGGAGACTGGGGGTTTGGTGGGGCTTTGGGGGGGGAGGGAGTGTGCAGGGACATGGAAGCACGCAATCAAGCCTGCAGAAAGGGAAGCGATGATTCTTGAGCTATCATAGCAAGCTCACTCCCTCGCCAATCAATCCCGTTCCGTTTTCCCACCTCTCATACCAATGAGGAAAACGCGTATTGTGTCATGCCTATACTCCGCACACCTCTCCACCTCCGCTTTTCCTCCCCAAGCCCTCCGGAACCAATCAGCGCATTTCTCGTACCCGTCTCGAGAAGAGAAGACGATTGCTCCACGGTCTTCGAGTTCCCGCCCACCGTTCCCCCATCTCCGTTCCTCTTCTTTCCCCATTCCTTTATTACCACCCCATCCCTTTGTTACCACCCCACCCCTATCCCCCTCTTCCCCTCACCCGAGCAAACGCGTGCGCACATGTCATGCCCGCTTTCGAACAGGGACGGCGTTTGCTCCACAGTCTTGGAGTTTCCTTTTATCGTTCCCTTCCCCGCACTCCCATTCCTTTTCTTTCCCTGGGGATTTTGCAATAAATCCATTCTCCTCCTCCCCTCACCCCAGCACACGCGCGCTCACCTGTCATGCCCGCTTCCAGCAGAGCCGACAGTTGCTCTACGGTCTTCGAGTTGCCGCCTACCGTCCCCACGATCTTCGTCAGGCATGGAACCGACCTCTGCCGTTCACGACGTACGCGATATAGAGATTACGGAAGGTGAGGAAGGTGTGCCGATTCATGGAAAGGGAAGGGAGAAATTAGAGCATGTTGTTTTGATGTATGACCGACTCAAAACCCTACGCTATTTTAGGGAACTGAGATTGCAAAGGCATTCGTGACATTATCAAAAAGAGAGTGGTACTCGTGAAAACAATGCAGACAGATGTGATGGTATTGTCGACACACACTATTTACGAGAACGAGGATTGCGACGGCTGAGGAATTACATGATAGTGAGAGTGTTCCAATATCGAGGCCAGTCGGATGGGTTCCTCGAGGAGCAACGGCGACGTCTGCAGCAGCAGAAGAACAGCAAGTCAGCGTAGAAGTCGACACTAGATATTCGGGGCAATCCAGTGCGGCTCGTCTATGTACTCAATCGCATTCGTAGGGTAAACAGCTTGTATTTCCGTACCACGCATTTTACGAGCGGATGCGACACCTACGATCAACCATCGACTGACCACTCACAGTCACTCATCGACAATCAACCACCTACGAACAGCCACCTACAATCAGCGAATTGCGCGCAGCATCTACGGAAGGCCTTCCGCCGCCGACGCGCACAGTGAACGCATCCATGTCTGGATGCACGAAAAGAGCCTATAATGCTATGTAATCAAGTATTCTGAACGGCCGTTCCGTGAGCGCAATGTGTCAAGACAGTGCGAGGAGTGCCAACGACGAAACAAAGGCTCCTGCACTCCACTAGACCCAAGGTAAATTGATAACTTTTAAAAAGGTATATTCTAGGCCAGGAGTAGGTTAGTTTGGATAAGCTGCCTTTTCCATCCAGATTTAGAGCTTTGGCAGATTGACCGAGTTTGACAACTTCGTTCACCACGATCCAAACCTGCCTCAAACCAAGTAACCTGCTTCATCGAGCATTACGAGGCTAGCTTGATCTGGTCCGGTGGTCCGAAACGGAACTGCTTCGAGGTTGACGGTTTTGAAGTGTGACAGGTTGACCTCGACGTTAGGGATGTATGACTCCTCTCATCCGAATCGTCCCTACCAGGTCAGCATGGCGAGATCGATGGTTCACGCTGGGCTGCAAGCAGAATGGGTGATGCTCACAGCGATAACGATCGTCCACGAGAGCAAGTCGGAAAAGCTGAGGTCAGAAATTGTAGAGCCACGTGGCGCGAGGTGGCTAGGGAAAACATGCCACTGGTAACTGTAAGGAAAATTCCTTTTCCTTACTTCGCATCCCTGCTCAACGCGTACAGCACTGTAGCACCACAGTCAACACCGTTACCACTCGCCACCCTCGCATCGACAATCCGCCCGCCACCTTCGCACATCGCACCCCGACCTCACGGCTCGGCGGGTAACCTGCGCTCCGGGCCTCCGCTTCGACACTTTTTCCCAACCTCAGTCTCAGGCCCGTCGCGCGACAACCACAGTCCATTACCGTTACCACTGTAGTTTCGCTATATATTCTTCGCTCATGCCTTCGCTCATTGTATTCTTGCTTCGATAGTGCAATTCTCGTTCGTTCACTCAATTGCACTCGTAACACCTGGTATTCAGAGCCTACGATCCCCTCTCGGACCGCACCCACACCTTCGCTTCCCCACTATCTCAAATTTTGGAGGGGGTAGACGTCTCTCAGCGACACAGCACCGCCGCGCGTAGTGCTCTCTCGTAAGCACGCACGGCCACGACCGAGGCTCTCGCTGAGCTCGCCCGACACCCCCGCCATGGCCGAATTCACGCTCGCCACATTGACGCAGGAGCAGCTCGACCGTCTGGTGCGCCAACTTGAAGATTCGGCGCTCGAAATTGCGACGCTCACGGCGGAACGTGACTCCGCACGTCAGCAATCAACGATGAACACTTCAGCGCCACCACACGCACCGACAAATGTATCTGCACAATCAGACGAGCCGATCGTCATCTCGTCCGGCACACCAACACAAAACAATTGTCAAACTCATATCATATAGCTTGTCTAGGCTATAGTGGGGTAGACACTGTGGGGTACAGTTTCCTAGGGTTTCCTACTTGTACCCAACCTTGTGCTAGTTCATTCATTCCTCATTTCTTCACATGGTATAGAGCAGGTTCCCTAGTGGGAACGCTTCCTTGGGCCCACCACTGAAACTTTTTTTTCTGATCGGAGCGCCAGTCGCTCCTGCCCGAGGCGCGCCTTGTGGGCCGCCCTTCTGTCGAGCTCTCTTAGAGGCCCCTCTCACGGCCCCTCGCGCCACCCTTAGCGGCCCCGTCGCCGCCCCTAGCGGCCCCGTCGCCGCTCCCCTCCCTACGCGGCCCCGTCGCCGCCCCTAGCGGCCCCGTCGCCGCCCCTACGCGGCCCCGTCGCCGCCCCTAGCGGCCCCGTCGCCGCTCCCCTCCCTACGCGGCCCCGTCGCCGCCCCTACGCGGCCCTGTCGCCGCCCCTAGCGGCCCCGTCGCCGCCCCTAGCGGCCCCGTCGCCGCCTCTCTCCCTACGCGGCCCCGTCGCCGCCCCTACGCGGCCGCGTCGCCGCCCCTAGCGGCCCCGTCGCCGCCCCTACGCGGCCCCGTCGCCGCCCCTAGCGGCCCCGTCGCCGCCTCCCTCCCTACGCGGCCCCGTCGCCGCCCCTACGCGGCCCCGTCGCCGCCCCTAGCGGCCCCGTCGCCGCCTCCCTCCCTAGGCGGCCCCGTCGCCGCCCTTACGCGGCCCCGTCGCCGCCCCTACGCGGCCCCGTCGCCGCCTCTCTCCCTACGCTGCACCGTTGCCGCCCCTACGTGGCCCCGTCGCCGCCCCTAGCGGCCCCGTCGCCGCCCCTAAGCGGCCCCGTCGCCTCCTCCCTCCCTACGCGGCCCTGTCGCCGCCCCTACGCGGCCCCGTCGCCGCCCCTAGCGGCCCCGTCGCCGCCTCCCTCCCTACGCGGCCCCGTCGCCGCCCCTACGCGGCCTAGTCGCCGCCCCTACGCGGCCCCGTCGCCGCCCCTAGCGGCCCCGTCGCCGCTCCCCTCCCTACGCGGCCCAATCACCGCCCCTAGCGGCCCCGTCGCCGCCCCTACCCGGCCCCGTCGCCGCCCCTAGCGAGCAGCCGAGCCGCCGAGCCGCCCAGCAGCCGAGCCGCCGAGCCGCCCAGCAGCCGAGTCGCCCAGCAGCCGAGCCGCCCCTGGAGCAGCCGCCACTGCAGCAGCCGCCCCTGGAGCAGCCGCCACTGCAGCAGCCGCCCCTGCAGCAGCCGCCCCTGGAGCAGCCACCCCTGCAGCAGCCGCCCCTGGAGCAGCCGCCCCTGCAGCAGCCGCCCCTGGAGCAGCCGCCCCTGGAGCAGCCGCCCCTACAACTGCCGCCCCTGGAGCAGCCGCCACTGCAGCAGCCGCCCCTGCAGCAGCCGCCCCTGGAGCAGCCGCCACTGCAGCAGCCGCCCCTGCAGCAGCCGCCCCTGGAGCAGCCACCCCTGCAGCAGCCGCCCCTGGAGCACCCGCCCCTGCAGCAGCCGCCCCTGGAGCAGCCGCCCCTGGAGCAGCCGCCCCTACAACTGCCGCCCCTGGAGCAGCCACCCCTGCAGCTGCCACGGAGCTCTCGCCCTACAGTGGTAGCGGCCTCGCCGTTGCCGTCGTCGTACGCCTGCCCTTCTCGCCACTGGTGAGCACTGCCCTGCCCGTACTGCTGTTACTGCTGCGCTTGCTGCTACTGCTCTTTCTACTGCTACTGCTGCTGCTGGCGTGGCCAGATGCAGCTCCAGCATCGCCCGCGTGAGTCCCTCACCTCCCAACAGCTTCGTGAGTGGTACGCTAGTTGGGGTTGTCGGGGTGGCCGTAGTGGGAGTCGTCCTGGAGTGAGTAGTTCCACAGCTGCTTGTAGTGGCCAGGTGCAGCTGCAGCGTCGCCCGCGTGAGTCCCTCACCCCCCAACAGCTTCGTGAGTGGTACGCTAGTTGGGGTTGTCGGGGTGGCCGTAGTGGGAGTCGTCCTGGAGTAAGTAGTTCGGCAGCTGCTTGTAGTGGCCAGGTGCAACTTCAGCGTCGTCCGCGCGCGGTCCTTTCGCCTCAGCAGCTTCGTGAGTGGTACGCTCAGCGTGACGGGTCACGGGGTACTGCTCGCTGTCCGTACGTCATTCGCACTGGTGCTCGGACTGGTCAGCCTTGCGGGACGCTTGGTCACGCAGAGTCCCGCTGCTTCGCTTGTCTGAGCGACGCCTGGCGTACGGAGTTTGGCGACGCGACTGAGCTCCCCGACTGGGTGGAGCTGCTTCGGCTGCGGGTAGATATCTATACTCTTGACTATGATGCTATCCTCACTGCCATGTATGCATTGCCTACTAGTGATGAGGGTGACTGTTACCTGTGTGTTCCGCCTGACCCGGGCATTGAGGCTGCTGCTCTAGGTGCTGGTGAGGCTGCTGCTCTAGGTGCTAGTGCGTCTGCTGCCCCAGGTGCTGGTGAGTCTGCTCTCTCAGGTACCACGTCGGCTCAGGCCTTACACACCTTCACTCTTGACTCGGGTGCTTCCCGCTCCTTCTTTCGAGACCGCACCACGCTTACGCCGCTCAGTCGGCCGGTTGCGGTCTCCCTGGCGGACCCCTCTGGGAGTCCTGTCCTTGCTCGCTTCTCCACTGTCTTACCCTGTCCGGCAGCCCCCTCTGGCACCCTGTCAGGTCTCTACCTCCCCTCGTTCTCTACGAACATGGTGAGTGGTGCTGATCTACAGGATCGGGGGGTTGACCAGTTCACTCCTGCGAGTCAGCGGGTGACCCACTGTACGTGTGCGCGGACGGGCCGACACTTGGCCACGTTTACCCGTCGGCCGGGGTCGAGCCTGTACACACTGACTACTGAGTCTCCTCCGGTTGCTGAGTCTAGTCAGGTAGCTGCGTCGAGTCAGGTGTTTGCTGCAGCGTCTAGGTCTGGTCCTGAGTCTGCTCCCTGCGCGTGTCGTCTCCTGTCCCACCAGACTCTCCTTTGGCACCACCGCCTTGGTCACCCCTCCCTGCCTCGTCTCCGAGGCATGGCCTCCCGTTTCCTTGTCTCTGGTCTCCCCCGGTCTCTCCCTCCCCTACCTCCGGGGCCTGCCCCTACCTGCGTCCCCTGCATCGAGGGGCAACAGCGCGCCGCCCCTCACTCCTCCGAGTTTCCTCCGACAGAGGCTCCACTGCAGACTCTTCACATGGACGTGTGGGGCCCCGCCCACGTCCGTGGCCAGGGTCACGAGCGTTACTTCCTGTTGGTGGTTGACGACTACTCGCGTTACACCACGGTCTTCCCCTTGCGCAGCAAGGGTGACGTCACTGAGGTGTTGATCGACTGGATCCGCGCAGCTCGTCTCCAGCTCAGAGAGAGTTTCGGCTCGGACTTTCCTGTTCTGCGTCTGCACTCTGACAGAGGCGGGGAGTTTTCCTCTGCCCGTCTGGGAGCCTTCTGTCGTGCACAGGGCATCCGCCAGACCTTCACGCTTCCGGCCTCTCCACAGCAAAATGGGATTGCTAAGCGCCGCATTGGCATGGTCATGGACGTCGCTCGTACGTCCATGATCCATGCGGCTGCCCCCCATTTTCTGTGGCCGTTTGCGGTTCAGTATGCAGCGCATCAGCTCAACCTTCAGCCCCGGGTCTCCTTGCCAGAGACCTCCCCCACCTTGCGGTGGA